GATGTGAGGACCCTCTTCACGCCTTCCAGCGCTGTTCTCCTCCAACGCGCATTTAGGGAGCAGGAGATCACGCTGCTGAACCCAATCTGGGTGCAGTCCAAGAACTCTGGTAAGTATTTCTATGCCATTTTACACAGGGTTGATGTTGGGATTGTGATTGACTTGGAGCCTGCCAAGGGTGAGGACCCTGCAGTGTCCCTGGCTGGGGCAGTGCATTCCCAGAAACTCGCCGTGATGGCCATTTCCCGCTTCCAGGCGCTCCCCGGCGGGGATATTAAGCTTCTCTGCGATACTGTGGTTGAGTCGGTGAGGGAGTTAACGGGTTATGATCGTGTTATGGTGTATAAGTTTCATGAAGATGAGCATGGGGAGGTTTTGTCCGAGAGCAAGAGACCGGATTTGGAGCCTTTCGTTGGCCTACACTATCCAGCCTCTGATATCCCTCAAGCATCCAGATTTCTGTTCAAGCAAAACAGGGTAAGGATGATCGTTGATTGTCATTCCTCTCCAGTCCCCATCATCCAAGACGAAGCTCTGCCGCAGCCATTGTGTTTGGTTGGCTCAACTCTCCGAGCTCCACATGGATGCCACGCGCAGTACATGGCAAATATGGGATCCACGGCCTCTTTGACACTCGCCGTGATCATAAACGGAAACGACGAGGATGCTGTGGGAGGGAGGAATTCAATGAGGCTATGGGGTTTGGTTGTGGGCCACCACACTACCCCTAGATGCATCTCGTTCCCCCTTCGTTCCGCCTGTGACTTCCTCATGAAGGCCTTTGGGCTCCAACTGAAGATGGAACTCCAATTGGCATCACAAGTCACGGAGAAGCATGTGTTAAGGACACAAACACTTTTGTGTGACATGCTCCTTAGGGGCTCCGCCGTGGAAATTGTCACCCAAAGCCCAAATATTAAGGACCTTGTGAAATGTGATGGGGCCGCACTATACTACCATGGCAAATACTACCCTTTAGGTGTGGCACCTACGGAAGACCAGATAAAGGATGTATGTGAGTGGTTGTTGACTTGCCATGGTGACTCAACCGGTTTGAGCACCGATAGCTTGGCTGATGCTGGGTATCCTTATGCATCCTCACTGGGTGATACAGTTTGTGGGATGGCTGTTGCTTATATAACACCTAGAGACTTCTTGTTCTGGTTTCGGTCACGAACTGTGAAAGAGACTAAATGGGGTGGTGCTATTCATAGTCCGCAAGATAAAGATGATGGGCAAAGGATGCACCCTCGATCTTCATTCAAGGTGTTTCTTGATGTGGGTAAGAGGTGCAGTCTGCCATGGGAGAATGCAGAAATGGATGCGATACACTCTTTGCAGCTTATCCTACGTGATTCTTTTAAGGATGTCTCAGGAAACAATCCTAAGGCCGTTGTGGAATGGCAAGGGGCAGATGAGCTTAGCTATGTTGCTAGAGAGATGGTTAGATTGATAGAAACCACCACAGCTCCCATATTCTCTGTAGATACAGAGGGACGCATAAATGGATGGAATGCCAAAGTTGCTGAGTTGGTCGGGTTGTCAGTTGAGGAAGCATTGGGAATGTCATTAGTTCGCGACATTGTTCACAAGGATTCACAAGAAACTACCGAGAAGCTCTTGTTTAAGGCTTTAAGAGGTTATTCCTTTTGTTTATGTTTCATTTATCCACCCTATCATGTACTATATAAGTATGTAATCCTTGTGCAATATCTTCAATAGCATTTATATATGATCCTTAGTATGGACTTATGACTCCCAATCACTTCATTACTTCTTTAATTTGAGTTTTTGATTCATTGGTGATATTGAAGCATGCAAAATCTTATCGTGCAAACTTGGCTATAATCCTAAAGCTAAAATATTACAGGTGAGGAAGACAAGAACATAGAGATGAAGATGAAAACATTTGGCACTAACCGACGCACAAAGGCAGTTTTTCTGGTGGTCAATGCTTGCTGTAGCAAAGACTACACACACAAAATAGTTGGTGTCTGTTTTGTTGGTCAAGATGTCACAGGACATAAAATATTGGCTGACAAGTTTGTTCGCATACAAAGCGATTACCAGGCGATTGTGCATAGCCCCAACCCTCTGATCCCTCCCATATTTGCTTCAGACAAGAATGCTTTTTGCTCTGAGTGGAACACAGCCATGGAAAAGCTTACAGGGTGGGGCAAAGAGGAGATGATAGGGAAAATGTTAGTTGGTGAGCTTTTCGGAAGGTTCTGTAGACTCAAGGATCCAGATGCTATGATGAAATTCATGATCGTATTGCATCATGCCATAGGAGGGAAAGACACGGAAAATTTCCCTTTTTCCTTTTTTGACAGAAATGGAAAATATGTCCAAACGCTGTTGACAGCAAATAAGAGAGTGAGTTTGGACGGAAAGATTATCGGAGCATTTTGTTTCTTGCATATTTCTCGTCCTGAAGTCCAGAGTCATGGAGGAAGCAACGACCGGTCCTCTAAGAAAAAAGAGATGGATTATATATGTCAAGAAATTATAAACCCGCTGAATGGTATACGCTTTACAAACTCGTTACTCAAGTCTACGAATTTGACCCAACCTCAAAAGCAGTTCCTGGAGACTAGTGATGCTTGTGAGAAACAGATGTCAAAGATTATAAAGGATAATGTTGGCCCCATAAACATTAAAGATGGGTAAATATCTGTTATTGGTTATGCTAGCCAAAAAGCCTGTCAAAATGAACATTAAAAAAAAGAAGTTTTTTCATCTATGATCTGACTTCAACAAGATTCACTAAGACTTGGTCTTCTTTTTTTGAACAGGTCACTGGAGCTGGAGGAAGAAGAATTTTGTCTTGGGAGTGTCGTAGATGCAGTTGTGAGCCAAGTTATGGAATTGATGAAAGAAAGAGGTCTGCAACTTATAGATGACATTCCCGAGAGAATTAAGACACTGGCAGTCTATGGCGATCAAGTCAGAATTCAACAGGTGCTGTCTGAGTTTTTGCTTAACATGGTACACCATACACCGCCTCCCAAAGGATGGGTGCAAATCAGTGTGCAGGCTAGTTTGAAGCAGATTTCGGATGGAGTGACTGTAGTTCAGATTGAAATCAGGTGTGTTTGGATCTAACTTCATCCATCTTCGTCCTTGTATGACTTTATATTGAGTAAGCTGCAACATCTTCTGCTACAACTTTTCTGTTCTGAAACCGTGTGTGCGCTTCGTGTCTCCCTTTCCAAAAAAAGGCACTTGGCCAAAAATGGTCATGCTTCAACTAAAGAATGCCCATTTTTCCTTGTAGTTTTCCACAAAAAAAACTAAAAATACATCATGGACAAGTATAATAATACACTTAGGGAACACTTATTTTCTCTGGTATCTAATGATGACATTAATATATGCTTTAGACTTCTGAGGCTATCCGTAACAGTTAGACAATTTAGCGACAAGTAGACGGTATTTGGAATTGCGTTTAAAAACTGCTTATGAGCTTTTGCTTCATTAAAATACTATTTGTCGTGTTTGCGAATATGCTTTTGTTTATAGATTATGACCTTTGCAGTCTAAAATGGGTTCGAGAAGTGCTTTTAAGCAAAGTTAAAAATATTTGCTTTTACTTAAAACTTCTGCCTTTTCAACAATCTACCGCACTCCCAAAGACCCTCGTAATATCACATTCCATGAACCAAACTGCATATATTCCCTTCCATATATATTAGGTATACTATATCCTTCATTTAACTAGTCCTCTCTGGTTTCATTCTTGTTGAAAAAGGCTTGGCTGTCCAGGTGAAGGTCTGCCTGCAGAATTGGTCCGCGAGATGTTCCATACCAATCAATGGGTGACTTCAGAAGGATTGGGATTGAGGAGGTGCAGGAAAATACTGAAGCTTATGAATGGGGAAATTCAATATGTAACAGAATCAGAAAAATGTTGTTTCATCATCACCCTCGAGCTGCCAACGTCCAAACGAGGCACTAGAAAGCGTTTTATAGTTCTGTAGCAGCGGTGAGGATATTCTCCTCGCGCCAATGTTATTTAATCAGCATTTTTCTCTGTACTAAATTAGCTCTTTGATTCATTTTCAAAAGAAGGGTAGCTGTTTGTTTTTTTTTGGGGGGGGGGGGGGGNTGACAGTGAAATCCCACACTGAAATGATTAAAGTGTTACCACACTGAATGATGGAACCACACTGTAAACTGTAGATGAAATTTTCTGAGATCACTTTGGCGTTTTTTATTCAAAGCTTTGCAAAGTGTATCTTTTTTTTCTTCACTTTCTGCATATTGAACTCATTTTCCCCTTCTCCTCGCTTTGTCATGTTTCACAATTTAAAAAAACACATTTCTTCTTAATTTAATTTGGAACGCTTATTAAAAAATAGGATTATATGGTTGCTGTTTATCTAGAAATGAGAAAAAACCAACATCATATTCACGGTCAAACAGGTCAAATTTAGAAGAGAGATGAATCGTTCATGGAAGGGTAAAGGGTTGACCAAAAGGATGACCGGTATACTTCGAATAGTATACCGGTCTAACTATGCCGGGGTCTAATTCATCCTTTGAAGTTAGCAGATCCAACCCTCAAGAACCAACCGGTGCAGTTTTTAATGATTGGAAAGTGTCGGCAGGAAGAGTCCAAAAGGACTTGGACTGTAGTGGTTGGCATTGCTGGAGACTCAGTGGAGATGCTGGAGGAATATTTCCAAGCCAGAACGCGACAAGGGAAGTAATCCCCCTCGCAAGATGACAAGGCAGCTCAGGGACAGTCATCTCGCACCACATCAGCAGCATGCCCCCACGTGGGCGCACGTGGTCCTGTCCCCCTAGCTTAGCATATATACCTCTTGTAACTCTCGAAGAGGGGGATCCGAGTTCATTCTCTCTAAACTCCCTTGTAAAAGCATCCGTGCATGCTCCGTTATAATATAAATTGGGCTATAGGTGTTCCACCTAAAGTCCTACCGGTCCATCTGCGTGTTTTTACCTTTCTTACTTTACCAAATCAAATAAACTATTCTAGACCCGGTCTAGTATAGTTTGACCGGTCAAGTAATTTACACTATCATTTTTGGCGCCACCCGTGGGACCGTTAAGGTTTCTTTTCTTCCAAACACAAACCTACCCGCAAAAACACCACTCAAAATGTCTTCCAGTCAGCAAATCAACGCTACTTCCACTCAGGTGCAAGCCACCAATGAAGGCACCAGCATCCCTGTGGCTGCTACCCTACCGGTCATTTCGGCCCCAGTGTTGCCTTTGGGTCTGAGCTCTGTCCCAACGCCTAGCGTGATCAGCCCATTCACGACCCCCGTCCCTTCCGCGGGACCAAGGGTCACGTTCCCACCAAGCATGACTCAGTTCATGAATGACTCAGCCAACCTACAAGCCATCCAGGGCTTTGGCCAAGTCATGGTCATGTGCCAACAGAATGGGGGGATGCCTTTCCTCCCTGGCATGTTTCCATTCGCCCTTCCAGGCGCTGGAACGATGCCCCTTCAAGCTCCGATGGCAGTGGCGCCGTTCCAGATGCCGATGCCGCAGCCATCACCTTTGCCGCCATCCTTCGTTCCTCGACCAAGTTGAGCTCGGCCAGATGACCCAGCCGGCATTTGGAAGAGGAGTGGAGTCAGATCCAGCGTCATCCAACTCACTCTCTGTGTCCTCTATGCATGAAACTTCCAATTCTTCATTCTCTCCGCCCTTAAAGCTCGGATCTTTAGTGTTCATCCCTTGGGATTGAAGCTCAATTTCAGGGATCTGAGATTCAAAACAAAATTTCACAGAATCCATATGAAGTTGGACTGATAAAGCTTAGATCTAGGGTTTTATGAAGTATGAAATTCACACAGACACGGAGAGAGGGCAAAGATGAGAGTCGCGAGAGAAGCCAGAGATGGATCTAGGTATTAGAGGAGGCGGAGAAGCATGAGAATGGAGGAGAAGAAGAGATAAGGCCGTAATGAGTAAGCGACGAAGAGATAAGGTTGCGTAAATGGGGTGGGTGGTGTAATAAATGATTTGAGGGTATTATAGTCATTACATGTCCATTTAAGCTGCGTGGGAAGATGATTTTAGAACGAAAAGAAAATGGAAGTGAGAAGATGATTTCAGGACGGAGGGAGTATTTATTTCCCTAATAAGGAATGAGAAATAAAATATGGGTTTTTTTTCTCTTTTTAGTTTATTTTTTCTTAAACATTTTGTTTTCTCTAACCAAAGAAAAAAATTCATATTATTGTTTCTCTTTTGAATTCCATGAACTAAATATATATTTTTTGTCGCATCAGGTTATCCCCAATGTCTTAAGACTTCCTTCTTGAGATTTTACTATTGAGGCAGATAAAAAGCAAAGAAAATATGGAGAGAGTTTTTAGAATCCTAGACTGACTTCCAAGACTCTCAACTGAGCATATCCAATGAAAATCAAACACCTATACTCAATAACACTTGCTCCATTTTCTAAAATAAAAATTAGTTACAATTTTTTGTAATAAACACAAAAAATGATAATTTAAAAAAACTAACAATGTTTTAAAAGAAAGACTCTCTATGGATGAAATGGATCCACAACAAATACATTAAGAACGGGGATCTTTGGGAACTCTCTCCTAGATCTCATAACTGCTACTATTGGAAAAAGATTTTGAGCAATAGAAAATGGTTTGAGGACATGCCTAGGGAAAATGAGTATACATTGAAAGGGGTACAATTGGCTTATTGGAGAAAGACAAAAGCCTACATGGGTGAAAGCTGGTTTGGAACAAATATAGTCTGCCCAAAAGGTTGTACAACAAGTTGAGGTTTTTTTGAAAGGTAAAAGGTGTAGTTTATAGTGGTTTTGTTATGTTTGCTTTGATAAAGTAGAGTTGAGGGTAGTGTATTTGATTTTGTATGATTCTTTATGGTTGTTTTTAATGAGAAGTGCATTTTGTTCAAAAATAATAATAATGTTTTAAAAACTAAAAGTGGTACGGAGTAAAAAAAATCCACATGCATAAAAAAACAATAATATTTGTTGTGCTTTTATTTTTTCCTAAACAATTTACAAATATGTGTGTTTACTTATGTAATTTTAATGAAATGTACACATTTATGTAATTTTTGTATCAAATTTTGATAATTACCTCTGATTTTAATAGATACTATCTCCATCCATGAATATTTGTCTAATTTTGACTTTTTTCAGTCAACCATTTTTAATTTTTGACCTATAATTGAATAAACTATATATTGTATATTAATTAGATAAAATAATATTTTGAAAATGTTTGATATAATGAATCTAATAAAACTATTTTCATATTAATATCTAATACTCCCTCCGTCTCAAAAAGTCTTTCCTGTTTACTATTACGGCCTCTCGATAACTCCAATTTGTTTGCGTGTTTTCATTGATCATTTAATAAAATAAAATATTCTTGTCACCTCTTATTTTGTAGAGTTTTCGATGTAGTTTTTAAATATAATTTTTTTATGTGTTATTTCCTTACCAATTTTCAAATAAAATTATTTTAAAATCTACGGGGTTTTGCACGTTAATCAAAACAGGAAATTCTTTCTGGGACGGAAGGAGTATCATTTTTATTTAATTTGAGGTCAAAGTTTAACAATTTTAGTAAAAAAAAATCAAAAGTGGACAAGTGCTCAGGGTCGGAATGAGTACTTTTTAAAAATTGTGTTGTGGAATTTTTTAAATGGTCATTATATTTATAAATAAATTTGATAGAAAAATCAACATGTAATACAATCATATATCATGTAAGTATGTAACTAAATTAATATAAATACAATTATTAAAATTAAAGATAGTGAAATACTAAATTGGCAAAGTCCGAGAGAGCCCGAAAGTTGGAATAGTTTTATCGAAAGTCTAGAAGAGTTTGAGATAGTGAAAGAGCCTCAAGACTACTTGCGTGGAGGATACCCTTATGACGAGAGATTACTCATTTAAGAATATTCACAAAAAATGAGATAATTTTATAAATGATTTGATTAAAACAAAAAAATGTAAAAAGAAACATGTTTAAAAATAAATAGATACGGCTTATTTTTTGATTTATAAATAATTTCAAAATCGACTTACGTACCATCATGAACCGTCACAACAACGAAAATAACCAATCCAGTATTCACAACAACGACGAAAATAACTAACCCACTATTATCCCAATTCTGTTCGAGTCATGGGAGGTCGAAATGGACGCAACCATACCCAATAAAAATCAAAGAGATGAATTCCATTGAGATACATTTACTACCCAAAACACGACAACGTACCGTAGTATAAGGCAATGACAGTTTAATGCGTCATTTTAATTTCATCTATTATTTTCACAAAGCAAAAACGATTGTTTGATGCAATATTAAATTAAGCAGAGAAACAGAATGGGTCGAGTGTTTAATCAGAATGAACTATCTCTATCTCTATTCGGATGCGCTCTTTGAATGGAAGGAAGCATTGTGCCAAACATAAGAATACCTCAAATGCCAGGACATAGTTAGAGACAGAATACATGGACAAGAAGATCATCGTGAGAAGGGCAAGCGCTACACGTTTGCATTGAGCAAGTGCCTTATTGCAGCAACAGCATCGCCCTTATGCTCTCGCAGTGTCCTCTCGGCAACCTTCCTGTCAACCTGTCCATCACAATTTAATCAGGCACTTTAAACCCACACACACACACACACACAAGGTTAACCAGAGGATCATCAATAAAGGAAAACATGCACTTCGAGTAAGCATCTCAACTAAGGGGTGGAAGAGCGCTACCAACTCTCCTAAAACCAATTGGTGTTAGAAGAAGCGCATACCCTAACCTTATAGTGCATTTCAGCCACGGGACAATTGTTGCACACATGGCCAACAACCTATAGTTGAGACACCCTTGCTCAGCCAAGAAATGTTTTTTGATGCATTCAAACAATGGTTTTGCTAAAGAAAGTCCCAATAAGTGTTGTGGGCACCTCTCTCTGCTTTGGCAAAAGAGTGTGAGGCCAATAAATGCATCTTTTCACCCAAAAAAGTGAAAATAGAGGTGCAATAAATGCATTTTATCAACGGTTCAACCTCACTTATTAGCAAAATCCTAAAAACACAAACCAACCTCGAGTTCATTGGCAATTACATCAACATCACCAGCATTTATCTTGACAGCCGCTAGTTCATTCTCTCTGTACCGGAAATACATGTAATACATTGTTAATCTAGTTTAATATGAATCATTTACAAAATAAGAGTAACATATTTTTGAATACTCTCAGTGTACTCCCTCTATCCCGCTAGAAATTTCCATCTTTGACTTTTTTAGTCAAAGATGGACAACTTTGTTTCACGTTTTTACTTAACACATGTTGATTAAAATCATAAACTATGTACCTTTGTGGAAGTCTTTTTAACAATTTTTTATAACTTTTATATCATGATTCATTTCCCATTAAAAAAAATAACTCTGTAGTAGTCAAATTTTAAAACATTTGAATGAAAAATCAAATGTGGAAGACCCCTGCGGGATGGAGGTAGTAAAATACTGTTAATTTGGATAGATTAGAAATTCCCCATTTGTAATCTAGTTAAAAAAACATTCACTTGCCACCTATATTCTAATTATCTACATTGGACTAAAGACTTGCCGGTTTAGAAGTCTCCAGCAATAGGCTGCTAAAATTTCCAAATTAGTTTTTTAAACAACCTTCTTGACTAAGGATGTGTATGGAAGCATTCATTGGCTTATCTTGTTCATTGTTCGCAGAATAATAGCATTAATTGGACTAAACTCTAAAGACATCGGGATTTGGAGTCTCCAACAATAGGCCACTTAAACTTGCAAATTGGTGATATTTTGTACATGGAGAACCCTCATTCCTATAGTGAGGGCTTCGTTCCTCCGGTGGTGCTTCCATGGGTTCAGGAGATATGAAATATCTTCCGGCAGTGAGTGCCCCGCATTGCCTTCCAGACTTGGTCTTCCTGGGGCCTTTTCGTGATGGCCTTTCGTCAATTATTCACGGTCCTCCCACTGAAGAACCCTCACCCCATTCCCTGATGGTTGGCCTACAAACTGCTTAGCATAATGTGGCTTATCTTGCTTGCTCTTAACAGAATAATAGCATTAATTGGACTAAAGACCTGGGGGTTTAGAAGTTTTCCACAATAGCCCGCTACAACTTACAAAGTGTTGAACTTTTATACACCCTTCTTGACTATGGCTGTGTATGGTAGCATAATTGGCTTATATTGCTCATTCTTTGCAGAACAACAGCTATCGACTTACAGGGATGGAATTGATTTTACCACACATTCCCTCCCAACAAATTTAGGAGGCCTGACATTTCAGCTAAACGACACTTACCAAATGTTCTAATTGTCTTGCTTGTGGCATTTTATTTTTGTGCAAAAGGAGTAATTAAAGAGAAAAAAGAACAACCTGGGGCAAAAGCTGTGGCATGACATATTGACATGGTTCAAAACCCTTGAGCCCAAATCTACGCAACCTTAAATTACACTCCCTCCATCCCATAATTATGTACACATTTTGACTTGGCTCGTTTTTCTTTAAAAAATGAATACTATGTTGTTGGAATTTGTTTAGAGGAGAGAGAAACGATTTCAACCACCAAATCATTACCTGAAATGGAAAGTGGAACAAACTTCTGGCCGTTCTGGGAGGGCCGAATAGGACAGAAGGAACAAAAGTATGAGATGGATGTAGTATATACAAATATCATAGCAGTATTTCTATTAAGTGGGTAAATATGTCTGTGACCATGACCTCACATGGTAACAACTTAACCAGTTAAGTTAGATTCCCTTCATGCAAAGTAAGGTACTAAGATGAGGTAAAGCTGGAAAGTCTTAGCCTCTTAGGCTGTCCATGAAGGGTGGCTTTAGTTTTTTACATGCATAATGTCATAATGGAATTGGCACACTATTGAAAAGGAAAAATCAATCTACAAAAAAGACTAAGGCGTGGTTCTTAGTCTACAAAGAAAACTCAATTTCATATTCCAAACTCTAGACTCCAAATTTTAGTTGAAATTTAAAATTACTGCTGTATTAAAATTAAGGGGGGAAAGAGCTAACCCTAAATGTCTTGACTCCTAATATCCACATTGGACATATTAAGGTTGCAATTCAATTTTCAAGTAAATTTCATTCAGAAAGCAAATTTAATGAGCCTGATTGGCATTGCTTATTTAATACTCTGCAACCAATATTCCAATAAGCTAGTGCTCATTCGATAAGGATTAAACATCATTTTTTAAAATTAGGATTAAACATCAAATTAATGCTTATTCAAACAACCATCTTGAGAAGAAATAAGCATCGAGATGTGATTGGAGAGGCAATAAGCAGGAATGCCAAATTAGCAATAGTTGTGATTGGATAAGCATTAAGCAACAAGAACTTCACAATCGCAATGCCAAACATGGCGATCATAATCTCTTGCATGTAAAATCAATAAAAGAGTTCAAGAGTTTAGTGGGCATTTGCTTTCAACTAATGAAAAACAAAAGATGATTTTCCCATTAAATGTATGGTTTAATTGTTGATTGGGGTAAATGGTCTGCAGGAGAACTCAATTCCAACCGTGGGAAAGAAAAATAACATTCTGAAAGCATCATTAGTTTTGTTTTATTTGTGGATTTAAAAGGCAAAGCAATGTATCCAGTGGAATAAAGTAACGAAGTTAATGTTCCACGCGTATAATCAGCTTACCTCATTCTCATAACTTGAAGATCAGCTTCCTTAGCTGCAGAAATTGAAGCCATAGCCTAAACAGCGCAGATTAAAAGCTAAGATTTACAATCACATGAAATAAATACATGAAACCCTAATTTTTCACAAATTGGGGGCGCTTGGTATGAGCATAAACAGGGATACCGATTGGACGCGCGAGGAGTCGAGCTGACGATCTTCGACATGATCGGTCAGCTTGTCCAAGGCTTTGCTCTGCTGCTGCATGTCTTTGGAGTCCAATATCTCTATTGCTTCGTCTCCGGCCTCCATTTTTCTGCTCTCTCCTACTGCTCAATATCGCCGCCGCTGGGTTTTCCAACAGATGAGTCAAAAGAGAGAGCCCTGATGGTATAAATTATGTTTGGGTTGTTTTCCGTCCATAATGTGTTTGACACATTACTTCGGTCAAGGTGGAATGGCCCCACCCCAGGCGCCCTCACCCCCTTGCCCGACAAGAATGGTGAAAGATGTAAATCATGGTGACTCAGTCGGCAAGAACGCTAGACCCGTGCCCACCGCGCACAAGGAGCCTCCTCACCCTTTATGAGATTTTTGGATAGCTCCCACACTGCAGCTTGCGGGACTCGATCCCTGGTCATCGGTCCAAGATTTCACGTTCTTGACCAACTGAGCTACCCATGCGGGCGTTTGACACATTACTTAACAATACACATTAGGGAGTATTTTCTTTTTCATCGACATATTCAATTCTTACTCATAAATCAATCATCCACAATAATTATTTTATTCAGAATCTTCAAGTGAAATTTGTCCTAAATAAGACTAAAACATAATCACTTTCTTAATGTAGGACTTAAACTTTTTTATTCCCTAAATAGGACTTAATAATGACCTAGTGGGAAGAATAATGTTCAGTAATGATAGCATTTACTTGAATAATGACTACTTCATAATGACCAAAGGTCCTACATTGGGAAATAAAAACATATGGTCCTATATTGGAAAAGTCATTATGTTTTAGTCCTATTTAGGTAAATTTCTCAATATTCAACAAATTTTAAGTCATTAATCATATCAATCAATAATAATCATCATAATATTCAATAACAAATAGTGACCTAGCGTCAAGTGTTAACACATTAGCTTACTGTCATGCATTAAACAAGATTTTATTTAAAAACATTATTTTATTCCAAGAAATCATCTTTATATTGATTATAACTGATTGGTATCAAAAATAGGATTTTAAGGCTCGAAAATAACATTTTCAGAAAAATATTCGGGTTACACAGCTCGGGTGATTGATCCAACACTCAGGATTGATCCAACCAGCGAGATCAATCCCAGGTGATCGATCCAACACTATGGATCGATCCACCGTGCTATGTTTTTACTGTAGGTGATCGATCCAGCATCCTGGATCGATTCACCGAAGTATTTTGTTATTGTTCATCGTCTTCTACCTTCATCTACTTTTTCTCCAACTTCATTTTAAGTCATCAAGCTTTAATTAAATTATAAAGAAATATTCTCCAAGGTTCATAGATCATTTTGGTATCATTAATTCATAGTTTCAACAACAATTTTTAGGCTTATGATTCTTGTTTATTCAAGCTTTCAAACACAAAATTTAACCAAACGACCGTCTATGAACGTAAAACGATTTATACGAACATTCTAGTCATTAGATATATATACGGGCTTACCTCGAGCTTAAACAGAGGCTTTGGAAATTTTCTGGTGAAGCTTCCGGCGATTATTACTCCCAACTCCAACGACCTCGGCGGCAACCAACAATATTAGACTGCNNCCCCCCCCCCCCCCCCCCACTCTCAGGATTCTTATGGAACAATTTTTAGAAAGTTTTGTGAAGGAATGAGAGGAATGAAGGTACCCATTTATAGAAGTTCGGAGAAGGAAGTTGTCAAATCCTACTGAGTCATTGGTGATTCGCCATCAAGGCTTAGTGGATTATACGGCGATTTGTAGGATTTTACACGCCTCCCTGATTGGGACAAATTTTGGTCCCAGTCGGGGTACACTTTTTGGTTTAACACTCTTCGAATTAAATTCAGTTTGCACCTTTGTGATCGGACAGTCAAATTCTATTCAATGATATAATTTTTATATTTATTTGTAATATTTTTTTCTGACATCATATTTTTGGGTGTTTGACTTTGACCGAGTCAAAATTGATCTAGTTGACCTTTGTTTAAAAAAGTTCTCACATTTAATTCATATTAATTATTCTCATGATTTATTTCAATAAATCATTTCAAAGTTCATATTATAAATAAATTATTTTTTTATTTGGGTCTGTACTCTAGTTTCCAATCAAGATCACACAAAAAGTTAACATATTGGATTTATCTCTATGAAATTTACCCAGATTGTGATATTGGATATCAAAACATGTTTCATTGCGGCCTAAAGCCCAACAATAATTTATTTTAATCAAAACACATTCGTTTAATTGTAGAACAACTCAATAAAAATTTTAGGGTATGTTTTGGGACGTTATACAGTAATTTTCTAGAATGAGCATTTTTCGAGTGTGTGATAAACGTAAAGAAAAAATTGCAGGAAGTATGTAAAGAGTAAAGAGAAAGAAGAACACCGCGATATATACTGGTTCACTACCTTGTGGCTAGTCCAGTCCTCCGAGAGATTCACTCAAAGGTCTTACTATACTTCAAGTTTCAACGGGTGCTTGAAAAACTGATTGCAACTCGAGAACTTGAATCTCACAAGTCTCAACTTCTTACAAACAAGACTTGAATCACACAAGTCTTAGAACTCACAGACTCAAGGAAATTGTGTTTAACAACACAAGAATGAAGGCTCACACAATTGAGCAAGTAGTGTTTAAATGTAAAGTTCTAATGGATGAAAATATCTTTGCACTCAATAAAAATATGTTTCTAGCTCTCAAAATAATATTTTGACAATCAAGAATGGAGCAAGAATGAAATGAATGAGAGGAAAAGAAAGGAGTGCTTGAATTGTTCATGAAATGAAGGAGGAAGAGGGATTTTATAAAGATAAGAAAAATAAATCTGTCCGGGAGAAGAGAAGAGATTGTGAAGTGCACCAAACGGAAAATAATCAATTAATCTAATATAGAATAATCGATTAGGACCTACTGACTTCAAATCCTTCAGCGGACGAAAGGGCTAATCGATAAATTCAGTAAGGAATAATCAATTTTCATTTTGAACGAAATCACCCTCCAGCGGATCAATTTATTAATGGATTAAAGAAGAAAGGAATAATCAATTATCAACACAATTATATGCAAACACCAAGGGCCCAAGGCAGGTGCGAAGTGCTAAAGCAGTTTGGCATAAATTGCTTGTTTCCAACAAAAGGAATAGGGAAGAGGCTCCTCCATTTGTACATTTCAAAATTTATTTTTGAATAAATTTTGAATGAGGAAAAAGAGACCCAAAAATACATTTGTGTGTCAAACGATGTACAAGAAAAATATTTAAAATATATTTTTCTTAACAACAAAAATTGAATGTCTTAAAAAGATATTTTAAGAAATTTTGACACGCTTTTTGTAACTAGCCCAATAAAATATTTTTAGACGGGGAAAAAATTATTTTTCGACTGACTCTAAAAATAATAATTTTTAAAGTATAACCCTCAAAAGATAAAATGTTTAAGTGAAAAATATTTGTCATCCTTACAAATGTTCCTACGACTCTATAAAGATAAAAAATCTTTGGAATCTTCACTTCACTTCTAAAATCACCCGTAAGAATTGGAACGTTGAAATATGTCATTGTAAAAATTCTTGATACGCCTCTTTGCTTTTTTGAATCGAAAATAAAATTTTCGTTTATCGTTGCGTTTGTCATTTATCAAAACCTGACAAATAATATTAAAGAATATCCAAAAGGGGTTTGAACTCCTGTCCAATACAAGGTATACCGTGAGAAGTATTGTGGAAAGTTTAGAAAAAAAGAGTAAGAATTACATAAATTTGCGTGATTAAGGCCATGCATGTACGATGGTGCTACAGCCAGCGTGTAACACCCCGGTCCGTGTGCCTCGAATATATATAAGGACCAGCGGATTGAGTTGTCACCTGATTGGCATCCAAATACAACAAAGTCCAAAACACTTTAAAATATTTAATTCAAAAACATTATTTAAATATCCACCGGAGTTAACAAAACGGTGTGGAAGCTTAAGTACTTGAATCGAAATATAATTATGTGTTCTTTCCTCTAAAACATAATAAATTCAAATATAATATTAATTAAACAAACTCATCATTTAGCATCCATCCGTCTCCTTATCTCTTGCTGTCCTCCAAGATTGTTTCCTTATTCGCCATTCATGTTACCTACGTTAGCAAGAGAGCAAATGTCACATGCTCAACATTTTTACTAAGTGAGAAATATCTTACGTTCGACTACGCATATAGATGAACTCACTAGCTCCTAATTTCATATAATATCATACACACAAGTACAACATTAATAATATCACATAAAAATCATCAAATGAACTCATAAGTCTCAAATCATCAAAAAAAAATATAAAAAATAATATTTCAATGAAATTCTACTGAAAATTTAAAACAAACATTTTTAAAAATTAGTTTTAAAATTCCGTCCATTAAATTTCTGCATGGGGGAGCTAGCTAGCGACAACAAATGTCAATAAATATTATGGTGAAATTAATCTCTAAGAAAAAAGCCAACAACAACAAGAGAAATTTGGTGGATGAGCTTGAAAAAGAGAGTGAAAGAAGCTTTTCTCCCATTAGAATAAAGGGGAAAAAACAAAAATAACAACACTAATTAAAAAATAGCAACTAAATTAATACCGAAATGAATGCCGGGTTAAATAAGGGCATGATGAGTCTGATTTTGAGAAATCATTTTGCAATTTTTCAAATCGAGTAGTTAAATTTGTTGAATATATTTAAATATATCATTATTATTAGTCTACATGACAATTTTGTTTTTTAAACATAAGAGACTATAATTACATGATGAATATATATGAGAACTATTTTAAAAGAAGAACATCTATTAGCTTGAAATGGAATAAATCAAGGAGAGTTTATCTAAATATGACTAAATTAAAATATAATGACTTTTTCAATATAACACCATATATTTTTATTTTTTAATGTAGGACTATTTGTCACTATCCATTAGTCATTATTCAATTAAATGTCTACCATCACTGGACATTATTCCTCCCACTAGACATTATTAAGTATTTAAGTCCTATTTAGGAAATAAAAAAATTTAGGTCCTACATTAGAAAATGACTTATGTTTTAGTGCTATTTAGTGCATATTTTCATAAATCAAAGAACCCTTATATTAACATAAAAAACAAAAAAAAGTCATGCCAGATACTACAAACCCACCATACTTTAATTTACATCAAGGATCCCACCAAATGTTTCACAAACATCCCTAAATTTTCTCATTTGACCTTTTTAGTCAATGTTTTAAAACTTTGAGAGTAAATTGTACTCCCTTTGTCCCTGAGTATTTGTCCACTTTTAACTTTTTTTGGTCAAAATTAGTAGACTTTGACATCAAATTAAATAAAAATGATATTAGATATTGATTCAAAAAGAGTTTTATTAGATTTATTATATCAAGTATTTTCAAAATATTATTTTATTTAATTAAAATACAATATATATTTTATTTAATTATAGGTGAAAAGTTAAAAACAGTAGACCGAAAAAAGTCAAAACTAGACAAATATTCAGGGACGGAGGTAGTACTAGCTCCGTAGAAGAGTGTTATAATTGAAATTTAATTCCAATGCACTTATAGACACACACACACACACAAATAGTCCCTATTATATTGAAGAGCGTGAAAAGTCAAATAAAAAAATTTCTGAACATAACGAATAATACATACTCACTCTGATCCTAAAAATCTTTCCTTTTTTTGATTTTTGGGTCAAATAATCACACTCTTTTACCATAAATTAAGCATAATCTAAATAAATAAATGGTGTAAAAATTGGAAAACTTAATTATATTGAATTTATATTATAATTAAATGTATATTTCTCACAATGTATGGTTAAACTATGTCACTGTTTGACAAAAAAAGTCAAAATATGAAAAGTTTTTAGGATCGAATGGACTATTAGTTAGCAATTTGTGGTATACTTCCTCCGTATCAAAAAAATGTTCCTATTTTGACTTTTAGAAAATTTAAGGGAGAAATATCTTGTGTTGACTTTTCAAAAGTATTCATGGAGTGATGGTTAAAATTAAGATGTGATGTGTAGATTATTAGTAAAAAAGTATGACATGATAGGTAAGTTAAAAACCAGTAATGATAAAATTAGTTACGTTTTTTAAATAGAAATTAGAGAAATTTCTTGGAACAATTAAAAAGGAAAGGACAATTTTTTTTTTTTGGGGGGGGGGGGGGG